TCCATCCCCAAGCAGGGGCACGGAGCCTCACAAGAAAGCACAGCACAGCTCTGCATCTGTCACAACAGCTTTGATGCTGTGGGAGGTGCTGAGGTCTGGGTCTTCAACCCCTCTCACCCCTCACATCAGAAAACTGTCACATTTGTGTATGGGTTTAAAAGTGTGGTTTCACCACTGCACTCTGGAAAGCTGCTGGCTCTGCTGCAGTCTCACTGTGCCATGCAGACCCAAAAGGGCAAAAGTGTATTACCATAGAGGACGGGCTACATATTTTCATGGATAAGTAGGTGCCAGTCTAAGCAGGATGTTTCAAGAGATGCAGCTGGAAAAAGAAAATTCCTTTTTTACAACAGCAGCTTGTTTCACCCATCTCCATGGGAGAGAAAGTCATGGAGATGGATGCAAAAGGCACAGATGAAAACTGCTTATTGTTACTGACCATCTAATTGGGAATTTGCTTCCACCAACTGCCTTCAAAGCCTGGGAAGTGCCCATAGCTGCCTTCCCAGGTCCTCTTTTCCTGCTCACAGAGGAAATGGGGGATGAATTCCCAGCTCCACAGGGCTGCCCCTTCCTTTCTTGTGGGCTCATTTCTGCCTCCATCACCTGGTAACATTTGTCATTTCCAGCTTTAGCCAAGCAAATTCCAATCCACTCTTGTTTACTTTTGATTGCTTTGTCTTTAATGTAGCATACAAGGATTTCATGTGCTTCTGTTTCATCAGTGTAATTCTTTTGTTGCTATGGCAATCAGCTTCAATTTTCTTTCGTTCTGGCAATTGTATTTTTATAGTCTCCTGCTCTCAAAGAGATAAGCTGCCTTGTATATCACACAGACACTAAGTATTTTCTCTGTATAGACACAGCCAACCTTTGCTTCAAGACAGTTGCTGTTATTTGTGAGAGTAGTTTAGTGCTGCTGATGTAATTTTTATTCTTTTCTGTGGGGTCTGTTTCAAATAAGAGATTTGCTCAAATTTACTCATCTGTTCTACTGCTGAGGAAACGCAGTGGTGTAAGAGGTGCACTCCTGCAGGCACTCGGTGGCTGTGGAGAGAACACATTCAAGCCCTGGACTTGACAACAGAGATGAGCACAGTGGTTTCAGCAGATCAAGAGTCACTATAAATTAGAGCTGATTCATTTAATATATTGAGAATAACGTGGGGGGGGGAAAAGTTTTGAGGAAAATAATTTCTCAAATTTACCGATGAAGATTGAATTTTCAAAAATATCAGAGGAAAATATTTTTGGGCACTCCATCACCTTGAGTCACAGAAAGAAACACTGCCTTGTGATGGATAGCAGGGCCTAATGATAGGGGTGCTGCTGGGCAAACCTTAATATGGGAGGAAGCCAGCCCTAAGGCCAGACAAGTCCCGCAGCACTGGATGGTCCCAGTTCCCTCCAAGTCACTAGATAACCTGCTTTCATTCATCCAATTTGAAATAATATCTGAATTTTCTGAATTTTAATAGCTAAACCAAAATTTGTGCACACATGCAAAGCAGAACTAATCCATTCACCACTTCCCATGGGCAGGTGGGTGTTCAGCCATCCCCAGGAAAGCTGGGCTCCATCACGTGTAACTGTAACTTGGGAAGACAAAACAAATGCCTCCCTTTTCTGCTTCTTCTCCCATCTTGCTACACTGAGCACGACACCACATGGCCTGGAATATCCCTTGGGTCTGTTGGGCTCAGCTGTTCCAGCTCTGTCCCCTCCCAGCTCCTTGTGCACCTCCAGCCTCCTCGATGGAGCAGGAAAGGCCTTAACTCTGTGTAAGCTCTGCACAAAAACAACTAAAACATCCCTGAGTTATCAACGCTGTTTCCAGTACAAATCCAAGTCACAGCCCCATACTAGCTACTACGAAGAAAATTTACTCTACCCCAAGAAAAACCAGCACACATCTGTATAAATATATGTGCACCAAGACCCACTCCTTGTCCTAGGGAGAAAGTGGGAGGATTCAAGCACAGAGAGACTAAAAGGTACAACGAGGTCACACAGGGAAAGTGTTGCAGGGATAGAAATTAAATTGAGATCTCCCATGTCCCAACCATCCTGAGTCAAATACACAAATGGCTAATCAGCACATTTTTTGCAACCTGCTGATGCATTTGAAAATCTGTGCCTATTTTTTTCCTCCCCTCAGAAAGCTTGTGCCATTCATTGTTAAGCTCTGGAAATGCTCCATGCTTAAGTTATCAAGTCTGTCATCTCTTCAGCACGGTAAAACCAGCCTCCTCACTATCCTCTCTACCAGGCAGAGGGTGGAATAGGAGACAGAATTAACAAGGAGTCATTCTGCCAACATGCTGAACTACGTATTGCATTTGTTAGGCCATATGGCTTTGTGATCATCCCTAATGAACATTAGGTAGCACTTTAAATTGGATAGTGTATGAAGGATCAGAATCTGAGAAATCACACCCACTTGTCTCTGCAGCTTCCCTGGGGCACACCATGGTTCTTCCCTGCTGACAGCCGTGACTCCCACACACACCAAGCCACTGAAAATGTCCTGGCATGACAAAGTGGACACAGGAATCGATGCTGGCTGGATTGGTCCCATTCCCAGCAATTTAGAGTGACGGGGCTTTATTATTTGATAAGCCACAGTCATAATATGCCAGAAGATGGCTGTTTATTGGAATGAAATCCATTATAAATGGCACAGAAGCATTTTTTCCCCCAACGAAAAAAAAAAAACCAACTTGCAATCCGGATGCAAGGAATAAATCATGCCATCCCTGGGGAGGAGATTTGCCTCAAACAATCAGGCTCCCCAGGATGGCCAGTCAGAAGTGGTTAGTGTATGGGTAACACTGCTGTGTGTGCCTGCTCCAGAAGAATGTTCCATGTCTTTGGAAGAGAAGGGGATGCACCAGATGGCAAATAATTAGAAATGGAGCGCTGAGAAACTGATTGAAGATCTGTTGAGTGAATAGTATTTTATAGGTTTGGTAGATTTAATTTTTTTTTTAATACATTTTTGTACTTTGCAAAGTAGCTGCTTTCCTCCACACCCAGGGGCAGTGGGGGTGTAGTCCACTTCCCCAGACACCACCTGAAATAACAGACATTAGTTAATAGCCAAGAGAATTGGACACTTTCAGACTGAGAGTTTAACCCCACTCTAAGGCAGGGACCTAAGCCCAATATTTCTAAATCCTAAATGGATTTATGCAGCTACTGATGTGTTCCAAAACCAGGAACATACTTTCCATGCTGAGCATACAAACATGTTCAGGGTCCCCCTGCTGATGATCCCATTCAATAGGGAAATGTATTTAGAGACATCTCTGGGAGCCCTCATGCTGTAGAGCTCTGGGTTAGGCAGCTGCAACATTTAAAGAAAGACTTTCTACATGTATAACCTGTGGCACAATTTATATTTCAAGGGATTTGCATATTCCTGGATACTGGACGGCTCATGAACGCATCCCAAGTGGAAATGGAGGCTCATAGCCAGGATTCTCCCTGGCCATGAATGCATGTAATATGGAGATACATGCACAGGACTGGAGTTATTGGGAAAGGCTGCTCTTGTTTGTTTTAAGGAAATCCACACCCATCACCATCCATTGCTAATTTTCTTCACTTAAAACTGACCAAATGAGTGACCACCATTTCAGTGATGCCTGTTCATTTTAGTGACTTAATCACAAGTGGTTGAGCTTCCATCTGTTCAAGTCAAATAATGACAGAAGTGTAAGATACAAACTTACTTCCTACTCCTCTCCTCGAAATTATTCCTATAAGTGGCTCAGTGCTTCAGAAAAGGGAACATTTCATTAGTATTTATTTTCTGCTTAATATAAATCCATGAAAAAAAATGGGAAGACTCACTAACTGGTACATCATGACTGTCTATGGTGGGATGAAATATTATCTCATTGCCCTGAAAATGCAGGTAAACCTTATTGCTCACTGGATAATGACTGCCTTAGTTCAACCAGCTTCTGAACTTGGTAGGAACTTTAATGACTATTTTTGAATCTTGTGTGAAAGATTGCTTTGTTCCTCTTTTGTTCATTGTTCCCTCCACAAATAGGAATTGTCAGGTTTGGAACTAATTGTTTCCCTGATAGAGAAACAAAGTTACTGATGAAGAAAAAAAAAATCTTTGTGAAAGTTTCAGTGGAAAAATAATTTTCAAAATCTTTTGATATCTCCCATCCCAAGACTTTTCACCTACACCTCTTAATTTTATCGAAAAAGTAAAGGAAAGTGAAGGAAATTTGAAGTTTTACTCACTACTATGCAATTACATTACCCAGACTTTGGTTCCAAGTGCAAACACTGTAATTTTGCTTTTATGATTTACTGCCAGGCTCTTTGCTTGGTTTTGGTTTTGTTTTACTTAAGGTGGTTTAGGAGACTTTTGTAGTAATAATTACTCAATGTCATGTTAAGCTTTCATGCAATCACACTTGTAATATTTTAAGCTTGGTTCATCTTCCCAGTTATTGCACTGCATTGATCTGTGCAAGCCAAGTTCAGAGCTTTAGTGTTTTTATCTCTCAATTCCCTGTAGAAAAGCCTCACATTTTAAAATCATTTCCTGTGGCCTCGGGGAAGTAATGGATTTATAATAGTCTGAGTACAAATGCACACCATCATTTAACAAGCATATAAGGACAACTCATGCAGACTGGGGGTGTTGAGGGTACATCCTGACACACCTGCAAGAGGTACAGGAATGTGAGAGCAGCAACCACAGACAGCTCATGCAGCAAATATCAGCTTTTTCTCTGACCACGAATTGTCAGAGAATACTGATCCTTTCTGCAGATCTTTGCTACATGAAACTGTTCCCATCCCCATTTTTAAAGCAAAACAACCGTTTCTCAAAAAACTCCCCAGTGACCATATGCACAGTCCAACAGCCCCTGAACTGGGCTGCTGAACTGGGACTGTGATGCTTTTTCTGGGAAAAGGGACTGTGGTCCCTTTCTCCTTCCATGTTCCCTCTGCAGATGCAAATGACTCACCTGAAGCTCTGCTCTGGTGATGCCTCTCCCTGCTGCCTTTGCTGTTGGCATTCCTGCCAAGCGTCTCTTTGTATCTGAGGGAGGTGAGTCAGCTGAGGGCACTGCAGGGCATCTCAGGTTCATGTGCTGGTGACACCTTGATCACCTCACTGACTGTGAAAGGTGCCTTAGGATAATTAGGCTCCCTCCTTAGGTGTCTTACTGACTGCTTAAAATTAAGTGGCATAGATCAAGGGATTTGGGAATGTTGGCACACCCAAAATCTATGTCAGGGCCCGCATCTTACTGAGCTCCAGTCTAAAAGAGGGTCACTGTTGTGATTGTGCTCCAGCACCAGAAGCATGTGCTAAAAGTCACCAAGGGAGCCCACTGGAAATCACAAGCAGATCTAGACCATTCAAGCAAGACAAATCCTTGTCCTGCAAGAGCTTTGGGTGTAAAGTCCAGAAGAAATGTCCCAAAGAGTATGGATGGACCACTGCAAAAACTCACATGGAGAAATTCATAAACCTGAATTTTGTGTTTAAAAATTATAATTTTTCTTTGCAATGTTTTCTAGCTCTGTCTGCTTTCCTCAATCCATTTTTTAACTTTCTCTAAGTAGAATAGGCATGTCTCCAAACTGAATGTTTCTTCATTCAAATTTCCTTGGAGCAAAGGAATTGCGAGACTCGTTCTTGACAAGAAATCCATCTCCTTCACTGGTATCAGTTCTTCTATGTGTCATGGTTTGAGCTCCAACCGAAATAAGTTAAGTGTAATAGCACTAAACTTCAAGTATTAGCTCTTAGTTGGCAGTGAAGCATTATGTTCCTTGGTTAATTCATTCGCAACATCAGTGTGTCTGAAACAGGAACAGAGAGAAGTATAATTACTTATGGCAATATTTGCTTGAAGTGAGAGTCATTTGTGCTATACAGATTTTTTTTCTCTCTTTCTTTTGCTGTAGAATTTACATTGCAGTAGAAGCAAGAAAGAAGGAAGAAAGTGAAATAGAGAAGAAAGGCTTTTTTTGATATATGCTGATTGAAATATTTTCCAGAGAAAAACAGTCAAAAATGCTTTTAAGTAGTCCTTGAAAGAGCAGCAGCTGTATCAGATATCCTATCTCTTAGAAATGATCAAGTTTTTTGTTGTTGTAGTTGTTGTTTTTTTCCTGTTTCCTACTGAATTGGAATTTTCCTGTAATTGCTTTAGCCATTCAGTCTTCATCTCTGCCAAGATTTATATTAAAAATTAGGAAAGGAAGTGTTGCTCTGCTCCCTTAGGATTTGATGGAAATTTTGCTTTTAAACCAAACACACTCAGCAAAAATCTTAGGCTGTTTTCTGGTTTCATCATTAAAAGCTTTGTGATTCTTCCACTGTAAACTGATTTTTACCCAGATGTAGCCACTTCCTCCTCTGATGATGCACTGACACAAGAGCATTCACTCAGAGCAGTGAAACAACTCCTGTGTGGGTGATGATGGCACTGGGGATATTTTGTAAACAAAAAAGATGGAAGGGATGGGATCAACCACAGCAGAAGTTTAGCGGTTGCAAGGTTACAAGTGGTTACACCCATCCTGGCTTGCTTTCCTGGGTCTACCACTTCCCTTGGAAAAGGAGGGAAATATGGAAATTTCCCCTAGTGCTCAGGTTTCCATCAGATGAAATGGAGCTGCATAGCAGTCCCAAGTGCAGCAATGTTTTTCAGGAGTAACTTGTTTATTTCTCCACATTTAAGAAAAAGGTAAATCTGTGCTTTCATGCTTTTCCAGGCTGATGCTGGACCAAACATTAACACCAGCCTCACAGCCCTATCAATCAGAAATACATATATTTCCACATACGTAAATTTCTGTCCACATATGGTAAGGAATATGTTGCTAATACAAACCTTACAAATACAAATCGTGCTGATATCCATCTCTGGTATCTCTGCCTGCATGGTTGGACCCTATTCTGTTGCCGTGGGAGCAGCTGGATTTGGGTTGCAGCCTTGTACATCATGGGAAAGCTTTGTTCTGATGAGAGGTGGCTGGGACTCCTGCAGCCTCTGCCTAGTCTCTGGGTTTGGAAGGAGCTTCAGGGCTTGGGCAAACTACAAAACATCTCCCAGCACCCAATCCTTTCCATGGAAAGAGAAGATGGAGATTTTGCCACAGCAGCCAAAGCAAAGGGCATTCTGTGCAGCCAGAACAGAGGATGAGATCTTGTGCAAGTGCTGTGCTTCCTCATTTCTTAGCACTTATTTGCAGCTCCCTGGTATCCAATAATTATTGTCCTGGAACATTTCCAAGAGCACTTTGCTGTGTGTGAAATTCTGCTAGACACATTCTGGATGGCACAGTCTCCTGGCTGGATGAATATCACTCGTCGCATCAGGTCTCTGGCAGAAATTCTGAATTCTTGTTTCTACAAATCCTCTGAAAGTTTGGCTTGAGTTTTGCCACTGAACTTTTCTGCAGGGCAGCTCATTTGCAAGAAGACAGTAGAAAGCATATTCAGAAAGAAAGAAAAATATGTTCACCTATGCCCTGATTTCCAAAAGCTCTTAAGCATTGGCTTAGTGTCTCCAGGAGGATTTAAATGTTTCTTCAGTGCTGTCCTGTGTAAGAACACCTTATTTCAAAAACTTGTTCTTGAAACCCTTGCAGTAACATTTCTACAGCTCTTATTGTTCTTCATAAGTGCCAGGAGAAAAAAAAAAAAGGGGGTGGGGGAGGAAGGGAGAGGGAGCACAGGGACATGGAATTTTATAGTGAGAATATAAATAAATTATATCATCCTGTACAATTAAAAATGTTATTGCTAAATAATAAATAAATACTAAATAATATATATATTTTTTTAAAAAGGTTAACAGCTGATTTCTGTAGGGAAGCCATGAATTAAACATCATGCAAAACAATTAAACTCTGGGAAATAGGATTTTTGATATAGTGGTCAACAATTAAAAATGAATGTGTTACTCTGCTCCAGGGAAAAGCAGTAAGATGTCATGCTTTCATGCTATGGGGAACAAACGTACTGTGTGACTCCAGCTGGAAAGTTCTGCAAAACACAAAGCAAATACACAATGAGTGGCAGAGACTTAATCTGAGACCCTGCTACACAAAAGGCACAGGCAGCAGTCGCTATTTCTGAAGGAGAGACACCACTGAGAGACACTCACTCCTCCCAGCAGCAACCTTCTAAATTCTCCCCCTGCACTTACTTGCAAATACAGTTCTTAACAGCATGGGCATCTTTACAAGCAAATCTTGATTCAGGTCCACCAACTGTGTTGGGTTTGTCTGGAAATTGGTTGCTGGGAGTGTGACCAAAATTCAGCCTCCCTTCACGGGCAAAGTCTATAGTTGAAAGACTACAGCATGGAGCAGGTTCAGCTAAAGACTTGAAAGAGTTGATATGCTTCCTTGCCACTTTCTCTGAGCAAAGTATATAAAAAAAGGCACAATGAGCTGCTCTAACGTGGTCTTACAACTTCTGAAGTTCATTTCCATGCACCTCTTTCGTTTTTTCTCTGCTCTGTACCTCCCTAGAAAGACCAGCTAGGCACCATACACAATAAAACAGAACACAATTGTTTAAGCCAGAACCAAATATCTTCTGATCTGGTCATTAATACTTTTATAACTTCATTTCTGCTGGAAGCACCCTTGAGAGTTCATGAGTTCATTTCAGTGCCAATAACCCACCTGAATGCGTTGTCCTCTGTCTGCACCTGAGCTGTATGAGGAGCCAGCAGCTTGTATTGGTTGCTTCCCCATGCTCTTTGTTTGGGGAATTGTCTGAATTGTTTACCATGGCCAATGTGTATTTGAACAGATGGTAAATATCTCCATTCCTGCCAACAAGAGTCAAGAGATGCCACTAAAATCCATTTAGAACAGAAAAAAAAATTCAAAAAAAATAGTTGAGAATTTACTCAGGTCTGTTGCAGGTACAATCTTTCAGCTAATGAATGGGTAGTTTCAAAGTGCGTGTTCTGAATGGTTCATTGGAAAACTTATCTCTGCTTTGGGTGCTGATAGAAAGAACCCCAAATGGGCACTTTTCATCACTGATAAACAAGTTCAAGTTATACCCTGAAAGGAATTTGACATGTTGTAGAAGTTGAAAGAAGTTGCAAGTTGAAAAGTTGAAAAAAAACACTGCATTTTCTATCTCTTTTATATCAGTAATGCACACTATTATGGAAATTATTTTAGACTTGGCAAAGCTTTCCATAGAGAGAAGCAATCAAGATATAGAACTTCACAATGGTTTGGTTCACACAGCCATTTCTTTCAGCTCAGGCAACCTCATTTCTCTTCCCTCTCTATTTTGTAGGGCTTCATGGATATCAAATACAAACCAGTGACTGAAAAATGGGTCATTGCTTTGCAGCACATCCATCGGAGATGCCAAGAAACTTTTCCAAGATCTTTCACACAGCCATTGCTCGTGGCTTGATTACAGTCACAGATCTGTACAGAGCTGGCACCCCCAAGACATTAAACTTTCATATGAGGCAGTGTGAATAGTATATCAAACACATTTGTTCTCTATAGGATAATCTGAAACACTTTAGCTCCCATCTCCCTTCCATCCTCGCTGCTGCATTGTTTCCACCTTGCTGGCTGTACAATGCCTGTGTTACATTATCCTGTCATGTTATTTCCCAAGACAGCAATACAGGGTTGGCATATGCAGCTTTACATCAGTGACCAGCTCTTGCCTGTGGTGTTGTGACAACACACCCATCTGCAACATCATTCCTTGAACTGCTTCTTTGCTTCATGTCTCACTGATGTGATGGCACCTGAAGCCATCTCTGAGCCCTGGTTAGGAAGACACTGCTCCCTTCTCTGTCCTCTTTCCCATGGTCATGCAAGGACTCCAAAGATGATTTTAAAGACTGACTCTAGAAAGTGGTTTCTTTTAGTTTAGGGTGAACATAGGGTACCACATTCCCTTAAACAGCCAAGTATGAAAGAATAATAAGACACCCAGGACTGAATCCATCTCAGTTAGAACAACACAGAAATCAAATTATTCAACAAATTTATCCTTTTCTTCTTTTTTTTTTTTTTTTTTTTTTTTTGTCAGTCAAGGGAGCCTTTCTCACCCAGTTGGAGTTTTAACACTCTCCATCAGGGTGTTGATTGCTGATATAGATATACAGATATAGTTTGCACCTACAGGCTTATGATACGTGGGGCTGAAGAACCTATTTACGAAAGACTGGTGAGACAAAATCAAAGACTGTGAAAAGAACTGTTCCCATGAAATGAAGAACTGTGTCCCTCTGATGCTGTTGAAGATTCAGACCATGAGTTTAAGCTACGGAGGATGAGTCTGGTAGGCTCAGACTGAAACCGAGTTCTGCAGTATTTGTGTTTCCATTGAAGAGCTGATGGATTTCACTACATCCTGGTAACAATGAAAACAGCACTAGAGATCCCATATTTTGTGTCAGTGAATAATTTGCCTCAAGGTAGCTATGAAGTGGAAATAGGTCTGGTATGTTCTTATCCTTGGATAAACACCAAACAAGCTTTTCTTTGCACCGAATCCTCTAAGAAGCCTCAGACAGGTTCTAAATTCTTATTCCAACCTTCAGTATTCTACTTACCAGCACAGGCAATACTTCTTAACTCATATGAAAGAAAAGACACTCATCACCATATTGGAAGAATGTTTGAGAGGTTTTTGAGCCTGGACTGGTAGATTTTCATTCCAGCTTTTAGGACTGGATTTATGGTTTGACAGGGAGTAGGTGTAACATTTTTGTCTAGTCATTCATATCCTGTTTTCTCCTGAGTTGAATCTAGCAGCTTATGTACTCATCCTGTGACTAACTGGGAGAGCCTGGCCAAATTTTCCCTCTGTTGTCCAATTCTTAGTTCATACCTCTTCACTTTACAGTGTAGGTACACACCTGTTTCTACACTGAGCATAACTGAGGTCTGGGACAGCCTCTGGGGTCATTGGTATTTTCAATTGAAGACCAAGTCTGACAGGGAAAAGCAGCTTCCCATGCGGAAGAACTTGGGCCAAGACTCTGTAGTCAACTGAAGCTGCCTGGAAGTGGCTTTGAACAGCCCACTCTCAAAGCTGAACCAGACCAATCCACCTCCAGAACACTTTCCTTTCCAGTTTTCCTTCAAAACAGGAAGCAATTCTTCAATTTAAACAAGATCAGAAAGCTGCTGTCATGGTATCATGGAAATTTCTGACAGGATTGTCTGCTCTGAAATACAGAGAGTACACAATGAGCCACTGCTGCACCAAGGGGTACGATGCATTTAGATGGGGGTAGGTGTGTGTGGAGTTCAAGAACATCAGCAAGCCTTGCAAAAATTCAAAATATGGGTGACAAAATCAAGTAACACTTGCTGGGAAGTGGAGTGCATGTGGTCTTCATGTTTATTTCCCCTAACACAGGCATTTGGAGTTGTATCAAGACTTCTCTCAGCAATTGTGCACAGAACCCTTCAGCAGACAAGCTGTGCTTTTCTCTCTGGCTCTTCTGAACACTTTTCAGTGCTCCCTTCAGAGACATTTCCAAGCACAGCTAGAGTGCCCTTCCTTACATAGCAGGAATGGGATGGAACAAAAGGATTCCTCAACTCTTCTTTGCAGCCAGACAAAGTCTCAGAGGAGCACAACATGATTATAATGCTTAAACCTTCCAGAAAATAACAGAAATCCACAGCCTTTTCAATCCTTTTATCCTAGGCCAAACACTAGTGCTTAAAGTCACAGAATTTCTGATGCTGACATCTACCAATGAGGCCAAAATTTTCTCTTGGCCAATCTAATTCTCAGGTGAGCTGGCCTAGAAGCATTTCAGGTGTTACCACTTAGTGCTCAAATTAAGCATCTCAAAAAAAGCAGAGCTTTTGTGTGAAAGAAATCTATGCATTCAATATAGTGTTATATCATATTTTCTGAAATGCACTTCAATTAACTGAACAGTTTTGGTAATGGGAATCCCATATCCATTCCTTATCAACAACATATACAAGGATGTTATGGAGAACACTGGTATCCTCAATGTTGAGGTAGCAACTCTACCCTTTGAATGTGATCCATTCTTGCACTATTACAGCAGAAAAACAACATATTCCATATGGCAGTAAGGGTTTACACCTGGAAAACTGGACTCATCTGGTGGTTCTACTGCTACAGTAGCTAAAAGCAAAGAGTTAGGCAGAACAACCTTTCACTGGCCATCTACAGACACACACCACAACTGTTACACCTCCCCCTCCTCATTTATCCCCATAAACACTGCAGGCATCTCAAATGTTCTACCTGCACAGCAGCTTGTGAACATTTCAACCCACTACTCCGATGAATGCTAATAACACTAATGGAATAAGCCTAATTTTCTCAGGATAAATGTCTGATGCCCAAGACTGTGTTTTCAAAGTCACAATGTCCATATGCTGATTTTAGCTCTAAATTTCATAATTACACAGCTCTGCACCAATTTCAAACCATTTGCTAAGCATGGCTGAGCTTAGCATATTCAGTTACCTCCTCTCTTTGCTGGGGTGCCTTTACAATCAAAAGATAGGGATCTCTTATTTGCCGTTCTTTTCTTCCCAATTGTTCAAAAAGGACCACAGATGACTTCTTCCTGAACTCGGCTGTCTAGACATCTTCATGTTCTCTTTTCTCCTGACTGAAAAATAGATAAATATC